GCTCTCGGCCCCGGGGAGCTCCCGCCCGCCTGCAGCCGCAAGCCAGAATGCTGCTAGGAACTGATAGAGGGGATTGTAAGAAAAGTGAAACTATAACAAAAAAAGCCTTAATGTTTTCTAGTTTTTAGTAGTTTTTAGTACTGTAACTTGTATTCCTGCACGTGTAGTGATCCAACGATGTAACTGTTCCACCAATCCCTGTTTTCTCATTAAGGAATGTAGTGGAAGGACATGGGCCCAAGCTCTCACTTGGTCGTTAGACAAAATAATGAAGTGAAACAGAAGCGGTCTTGGTTCTCAGCAAATCATTGGGCTAATTGCGGGATAGAAGAGACTCCTCAATAATTCTACTCCAGACAGCTCGGCCTCGGGAGGGCAAATGTGCCAAGCTCCAGAGATAAGGAGGCACCCAGAGAGCAACCAGACCAGAGCCAAACGACCTGAAGGACAGGATGGACGTGACCCTGGAACTGATGTGTGAAAGATATTTACATACGCTAATGAGTTCTTAGAAATATAATGAATATTTACATGTGTGATTGTATTTAACCTGAAGCAACAGGGTGTCTGGGGCGCACGTTTGGAGGAGAAATCCCCTGTGTGCCCGGCGCCACAATAAAGAACACCTGCTTAACAGTATACATTGTACAGTTAGGTTTTTCCTACCGGATCTTCGAATCAGTTGTATACTGAGACATGTGCAAACATCCTACATCATTATGACTTACGAGCAATCTTTAATAACAGAATTTATGCATCACTTTTTTGTCAAGATAATATAATCACCAAATTAATTACCGGCTCTTCGAATCGGAACGCACCCCTCCTGCATCTCTGCCTGCAGCCCCAGCAAAGGGTCACGTTTGGGCTGGCCCAGTCCTTACCGTACCAGCTTTGCGTAAATACTCGCAAGATCAGGCGTCGAGGGAGCTCTGGCCAAAGCGATCCCGGTGCCTTGCTGAAAATGATGTCAGGGTTTGCTTTAGGAAAATCATCATTGCAGCCAGCCTTGCTTTTCATGAAGCTGTGACGATTTAAAAAGCATCAACGATTGCACTGAGGAGGTGCAGGAAAGCTTTCCCTCTCTGCCTAACCCCTCAACATTCGCTTTTTAAGAGCCTGGCAGCGGAAGTTACCGAAAGGCAGAGCCCCAGGGGCACCCCGGCACAGGTGTAACTACGCTTAAACCCTGTGGGAACGAGACGATGCTAAATCCCGCCAGACCCCGACCCTGCACAGCCTCACCACCCGCCCCCGTGAGGGACCC